TTTAACGTAAAAATGGGTAACGCTTTTTTGATTACGATGGCGTGGTTAAAACTATGGAATTTTTTTTTAACAATTTTTTTACAATTTTTTTAAATATATGAACCAATAAAACAGGATACATAATTTATAGTTAAAAAATTATTAAAAAGATTGTTAAAATATGGGTTAAATATGTTTTTAGTCCCTAAACTATTGGCCGTTTCTGGTTTTCGTCCCTCTTCCAAAGTAAGGTACAATTTGGTCCTCATTCTTTAGAAAAACGTTCGTTTTAGTCCTCAAAATTTTGTTTTTAGTCCTCGTTTTAGTCCTCAAAACGTTCGTTTTTTTGACTAAAACGAACGTTTTTTAAAGATTGAGGACTAAATAGTACCTTACTTTGGAAGAGAGACGAAAACCAGAAACGGTCAATAGTTTAGGGACTAAAAACATATTTAACCCTTAAAATATCATGCTAAAACTAATGGGATGCTTTAACACTTTAAAACTAATTTAAGATTTTCATTTACATTTTACTTTTGAGAATTACAATTTATTATTCTCATTACTTCAAAAATAATTAATTTATAACTTAAATGTTTATTTCGTTTAGTATCAGTTTTAAAAATGTAGACATTTTGTTTTTATATTTTTCAAATTTGTATCATTTCAGTCTTGTCCGTTTAAGTTGATAGAAACGACTTTATCTTCTCTTTTACACTTTTTTTTCTTTCTCTACTCTTCCTCACACATTTTTTCTTTCTCTTTTCTATTTATTTCACTATTAACCTTTTTCCCTTTATTTCACCATTAACTTCTATTGGAAATGTCACTTCACTTCTTAACATAATTAAAAGGTAGATTCTTTCAATAAATATTTTAAATAACATTTTTATCTCACATTTTTAAATAAAATAAATATTGTAAATTAAATAATTTGAATATATATTTTCCTTTTATATTTTTCTAAAAATATTTTAAGTTTTATCAATCACGCTTCGTTAATATTTACAAATTTAATAAATATTTTTATTTTGATAAAATGTTAATTGATAGTTTAATTTGAAATGTCTATATTTATAATTGTTTTCTAAATATTTAATATTGAAAAAACAAAAATATCTTTATTTTGATATTGAATATTTAACATTATTATGTTTTATTTGTCATAATTTTTTTTATTTTATAAAATTTAATTAATTAATATTGAAATGTATGAATACAGATATATATCCATTATTCAATAAAGATGGAGATAAAATAAAAATTTAATACTCATTTAGTTGAGTTTAGATATGAAGATGATTTTTTTAGTAAGAATAGATATGAAATAATGAAATTGGTTCTATATGATCGGTGACAATAAGAATAGATATGAAATAGTGATATTTCCATATTTAATCTCAGTCTATATAATTTTATGGTATTTAATGGTAGCAGGAAAAGCAGAAGTTAATGAAGTTAAGGTCGTTTCTACCGACTTAGCATATATGACTGAATTGATACAAATTTGAAAACATAGGAACGAAATGTCTACATTTTTAAAACTGAGTACTAAACCAAAATTCAACTCTTAACATGGGACATATATGACTGAATTGATACAAATTTGAAAACATAGGAACGAAATGTCTACATTTTTAAAACTGAGTACTAAACCAAAATTCAACTCTTAACATGGGACGAAGTAAGTATTTAAACCTTAATTTATTTATGTTATCTTATTATTGTGTATATTATTTATTAAAATTTAACTACAGATACCATGTGCATGTGGAATAGATCTAATTAACGTTAAATAGATACTACGTATTGATATTCACGTTTTCAATAGTTTAAACTATTAATATGTTGATTTTCAATTTTTGGTATTTATTTTTCATTAATTATTAACGAGAGAAACGCAAGAAATATGAAAAATAAAGTGTTTAATTTGAAAAAAGAAATGAGTAAGAAGAAATATTGTTTTATTTATTATAATGAATTTATTTATTATTATCATAAAAAATGTATTCATAGTTAGTTATGAATGATACATAATTAATTATAAGATTATTTATAATCAATTATAAATATGTATGTGAAAAATACATATTAAAACTGAGATTGTATAACATATATAACTGATTATAAAAATTATATTTTGACGTCATGTAAAATAACATATATTTATTTTACGATATATTTTAATAATGTAATAATTTATATTAAAATATAATAGAGATATAACAAAAATATTGATATATTAAAATATCATGTGGTTGTATTTTTTATATTGTAGAGTGTCACAGAATCATCTCCTTTGATATTTAGAATACTCATCTAACTAAATTATTACTTTGGATTCATTGGCTACACAAAAGAGAAGGTTGATGTTTTAAAGTGATCTAAATGATTTTGTATTGGCCGTACTATTATTTAGAATCTTTTGTAAAAATTATTTATTTAAGGAAAAGTGGAGATAGTTGGTAAGAAAAGGTTTGAAAAAATTAATTGTAATTATAAGTTAATTAGCACAAAATATCCTTTATACAAATTGTAATATATTGATGGATTTTATGTTAACGAAAATGTTATCAATAAATTAAATTATAAAATTAATCAAAAAGTATTATTAATAAATTTAAATTTATCGATAAATTTATTCACAAATTTTAACTATGTGGTTTGTTTAATTACAAGACTCTAGTATAGCATGTTCATATATGAATTGTAAAATACTTCAGCAAAGAATGATTGTGACAAAAGAGGAACAAACTTTAAAGGTGATTTATGAAAAAGTTTCCAATCAATGAAGATGACATAATTGTTATCAGGATGAGAAGGAGAAAGAGGTTGAATAAAAAGGATAAACTTTCACAAATCTAGGTATTTCAATAGTCACAAATTAAGGTCTTCTAAAGAAGCTGTCAAAACGGGTCATCCGGTCTGACTCGGTCCGACTCATCACGGGTTGGTCATTTAGTGAGTAACCCAACCCGGCTCATTTATTAACAAGTCAGAAAAATTCGAACCCAGCCTGACCCATTACGGGTTGGTGAGTAAACGGGTTGATTCACTAGCTCACTTAAATATAATTTTTTTAAAATAAAAAAATTTACAAACTTTCTATAATTCAAATATAAAAATTTTTTACTACCAACATGGATGTTTAATTAATTTTGAAAATAAGAAATTTAAATAATTTTTTCAAGCAAAAAATAATAATAAATATTTTTTTATAAAATTAAAATTAAATTTTAATAAAATAAAATTAGGTAGGTGGGTTGGTGGGCCAACCCGGCCCACCACGGGTTCAACCCGCATGAGCCGGGTAGAAATCTGACCCGCATAAAAAAATACAACTTTTTCAAACCCAACCCGGCTCAAACCCGTGGTGGGCCGAATTGGCCCGTGGGTTGTAACCCGTTTTGACACTCTACTTCTAATAGTGTTTTGGGTGTAAGGTGAATGATGTACGCTATGATTTATTCACAAATTTTACCAAGTTAACTTGAGTTATCCTGAATACTTCTTGTTGGGAGTCTTTCCTTTTTCACGTTGGAACGGTCTGGGTGTATCTCTTAAAGTCATTCCAACACTCAAGTTAACACTTAATGGGATCTGAATCACATTAAAATCTTAAATTTCTAATAAATGTGACATTTTCCCTTCTTATCTTTAACTTTTATTTATAAGTTTTGAGATCAGTTTCTGATTAGTGACATCCTAAATCACCACCCAATTATCTACTAAATAACTTTTACCATTAATCTTGATTAGGAGCATCCCTTTTCCATGACCGTGTAATTAGTTGATAAACAATGTGTTTCGGCAGGATTTAGAATCCTAATCCAAAACATTCAAAGTTGTCTGCTCCGATGTCCAGTTGTAATGTCTTCTCCTTGTCCAAGCCGCGGGGGAGGGTGCCTGCAAAAGACACTCCGACGCTCAAGTAAGTGACTTTGCGTAATAATCTTGTAATCAAGATTTAGTTATCAGAGCTCTAAGTTTCAGTTCAAGTTCAAGTTACCCGTCTTCCTTGTCAGACAAATATTTATAAATTATAATGAGTTTACCGTTAACTCTTTGACAATTATTACTATTAATTACCTTAACGGCTAATTTAACTGATCGATTCATTCACCTGAGAGGTATCATCAGTCGGACTGATTCTACCGATCGCTTCATTAACCTGAAAGGTATCGTCGATCGGACGATTCTTCTGCACCTTTACTGTTCGGTCGGCTATGAGCCCATAGTAACACAATGTTTATTAACACTTAACGAGATAGTGTCTAATAGTGTTGATCACAACTACTAGACGTCTCTTCTCGTGATATTGTCTAGTTATTCAATATGTTCCTACGAAATACAAATAAGAATGTCAAAACAAATAAAACAACTATATCAAGATTTATTAAAAAAATGTTACTTTTATCTGGTTGAAAATAAACAATTTTATGTAATCATAATTTTTAGACCTTGTAGCAATCACATTTACAATATAAGAATCATCAATTACATGTCAACAATCAAATATAAGGGAATAACAATGAGTCATGAAGTTCAATATGCAATAAGAACACACTATTAATTAATAGTTTATCATTTATTTATAAATTATATCATAAAATCTGAATAATTAAAAATCACTAAAATAATAAATAAAATAAAATCCAATTAAATAATATATATTGTAACAAATAAATAAAAAAAATAAAGATAATTAATTTAAAGTTTGAATGTGATTCCTTTTTCTTTGTTTCATTTTGCAGTCTCCTTGGTCCAAAGAATGCATATTAGCATTTTAGTTATCTGAGTTTGAGAAAATGAAAGGTGCAGGACATATTTGTTGCTTGATGCATTCCTCTTCCTTCTAGTTTTTGGCGAAACCCAATTGGGAGATTGTGGTAGCCAACCTTACCGAATGAGTGGAAGCCAGTAATTCTCAGATCAACAATTTCGAATAAAGTGAAGGATTCCATCTTTCATATGCAGAACCAGATTCTTCACTCTTTGCTTTTCCATATAAATATATGGATGCATCTCATCACATTCTTTCACTAACACCTTCTCCTTTTTCTTTCTTCTACCTTCTCTTCGCTTCTCACATCAGAGACTCTCAATGGCAAATGTAAGAAACTTTACTACTTCCCTCTGTCGATCATTTTTCTTTCAGCTACATATCGGACAGAAATCAAACTCATTAACTTTCTTGTTTTGTGCCATCAGGTGGTGGAAGTCAAGGTTGGTTTACACTGTGACGACTGTATCAAGAAAATTCTTAAGGCCATCAAGAAGATTGAAGGTTACTATAACTAATTTCCAAAGCTCACAAAACTATGTACCTAGGTTTANAATTCAACTCTTAACATGGGACATATATGACTGAATTGATACAAATTTGAAAACATAGGAACGAAATGTCTACATTTTTAAAACTGAGTACTAAACCAAAATTCAACTCTTAACATGGGACGAAGTAAGTATTTAAACCTTAATTTATTTATGTTATCTTATTATTGTGTATATTATTTATTAAAATTTAACTACAGATACCATGTGCATGTGGAATAGATCTAATTAACGTTAAATAGATACTACGTATTGATATTCACGTTTTCAATAGTCTAAACTATTAATATGTTGATTTTCAATTTTTGGTATTTATTTTTCATTAATTATTAACGAGAGAAACGCAAGAAATATGAAAAATAAAGTGTTTAATTTGAAAAAAGAAATGAGTAAGAAGAAATATTGTTTTATTTATTATAATGAATTTATTTATTATTATCATAAAAAATGTATTCATAGTTAGTTATGAATGATACATAATTAATTATAAGATTATTTATAATCAATTATAAATATGTATGTGAAAAATACATATTAAAACTGAGATTGTATAACATATATAACTGATTATAAAAATTATATTTTGACGTCATGTAAAATAACATATATTTATTTTACGATATATTTTAATAATGTAATAATTTATATTAAAATATAATAGAGATATAACAAAAATATTGATATATTAAAATATCATGTGGTTGTATTTTTTATATTGTAGAGTGTCACAGAATCATCTCCTTTGATATTTAGAATACTCATCTAACTAAATTATTACTTTGGATTCATTGGCTACACAAAAGAGAAGGTTGATGTTTTAAAGTGATCTAAATGATTTTGTATTGGCCGTACTATTATTTAGAATCTTTTGTAAAAATTATTTATTTAAGGAAAAGTGGAGATAGTTGGTAAGAAAAGGTTTGAAAAAATTAATTGTAATTATAAGTTAATTAGCACAAAATATCCTTTATACAAATTGTAATATATTGATGGATTTTATGTTAACGAAAATGTTATCAATAAATTAAATTATAAAATTAATCAAAAAGTATTATTAATAAATTTAAATTTATCGATAAATTTATTCACAAATTTTAACTATGTGGTTTGTTTAATTACAAGACTCTAGTATAGCATGTTCATATATGAATTGTAAAATACTTCAGCAAAGAATGATTGTGACAAAAGAGGAACAAACTTTAAAGGTGATTTATGAAAAAGTTTCCAATCAATGAAGATGACATAATTGTTATCAGGATGAGAAGGAGAAAGAGGTTGAATAAAAAGGATAAACTTTCACAAATCTAGGTATTTCAATAGTCACAAATTAAGGTCTTCTAAAGAAGCTGTCAAAACGGGTCATCCGGTCTGACTCGGTCCGACTCATCACGGGTTGGTCATTTAGTGAGTAACCCAACCCGGCTCATTTATTAACAAGTCAGAAAAATTCGAACCCAGCCTGACCCATTACGGGTTGGTGAGTAAACGGGTTGATTCACTAGCTCACTTAAATATAATTTTTTTAAAATAAAAAAATTTACAAACTTTCTATAATTCAAATATAAAAATTTTTTACTACCAACATGGATGTTTAATTAATTTTGAAAATAAGAAATTTAAATAATTTTTTCAAGCAAAAAATAATAATAAATATTTTTTTATAAAATTAAAATTAAATTTTAATAAAATAAAATTAGGTAGGTGGGTTGGTGGGCCAACCCGGCCCACCACGGGTTCAACCCGCATGAGCCGGGTAGAAATCTGACCCGCATAAAAAAATACAACTTTTTCAAACCCAACCCGGCTCAAACCCGTGGTGGGCCGAATTGGCCCGTGGGTTGTAACCCGTTTTGACACTCTACTTCTAATAGTGTTTTGGGTGTAAGGTGAATGATGTACGCTATGATTTATTCACAAATTTTACCAAGTTAACTTGAGTTATCCTGAATACTTCTTGTTGGGAGTCTTTCCTTTTTCACGTTGGAACGGTCTGGGTGTATCTCTTAAAGTCATTCCAACACTCAAGTTAACACTTAATGGGATCTGAATCACATTAAAATCTTAAATTTCTAATAAATGTGACATTTTCCCTTCTTATCTTTAACTTTTATTTATAAGTTTTGAGATCAGTTTCTGATTAGTGACATCCTAAATCACCACCCAATTATCTACTAAATAACTTTTACCATTAATCTTGATTAGGAGCATCCCTTTTCCATGACCGTGTAATTAGTTGATAAACAATGTGTTTCGGCAGGATTTAGAATCCTAATCCAAAACATTCAAAGTTGTCTGCTCCGATGTCCAGTTGTAATGTCTTCTCCTTGTCCAAGCCGCGGGGGAGGGTGCCTGCAAAAGACACTCCGACGCTCAAGTAAGTGACTTTGCGTAATAATCTTGTAATCAAGATTTAGTTATCAGAGCTCTAAGTTTCAGTTCAAGTTCAAGTTACCCGTCTTCCTTGTCAGACAAATATTTATAAATTATAATGAGTTTACCGTTAACTCTTTGACAATTATTACTATTAATTACCTTAACGGCTAATTTAACTGATCGATTCATTCACCTGAGAGGTATCATCAGTCGGACTGATTCTACCGATCGCTTCATTAACCTGAAAGGTATCGTCGATCGGACGATTCTTCTGCACCTTTACTGTTCGGTCGGCTATGAGCCCATAGTAACACAATGTTTATTAACACTTAACGAGATAGTGTCTAATAGTGTTGATCACAACTACTAGACGTCTCTTCTCGTGATATTGTCTAGTTATTCAATATGTTCCTACGAAATACAAATAAGAATGTCAAAACAAATAAAACAACTATATCAAGATTTATTAAAAAAATGTTACTTTTATCTGGTTGAAAATAAACAATTTTATGTAATCATAATTTTTAGACCTTGTAGCAATCACATTTACAATATAAGAATCATCAATTACATGTCAACAATCAAATATAAGGGAATAACAATGAGTCATGAAGTTCAATATGCAATAAGAACACACTATTAATTAATAGTTTATCATTTATTTATAAATTATATCATAAAATCTGAATAATTAAAAATCACTAAAATAATAAATAAAATAAAATCCAATTAAATAATATATATTGTAACAAATAAATAAAAAAAATAAAGATAATTAATTTAAAGTTTGAATGTGATTCCTTTTTCTTTGTTTCATTTTGCAGTCTCCTTGGTCCAAAGAATGCATATTAGCATTTTAGTTATCTGAGTTTGAGAAAATGAAAGGTGCAGGACATATTTGTTGCTTGATGCATTCCTCTTCCTTCTAGTTTTTGGCGAAACCCAATTGGGAGATTGTGGTAGCCAACCTTACCGAATGAGTGGAAGCCAGTAATTCCCAGATCAACAATTTCGAATAAAGTGAAGGATTCCATCTTTCATATGCAGAACCAGATTCTTCACTCTTTGCTTTTCCATATAAATATATGGATGCATCTCATCACATTCTTTCACTAACACCTTCTCCTTTTTCTTTCTTCTACCTTCTCTTCGCTTCTCACATCAGAGACTCTCAATGGCAAATGTAAGAAACTTTACTACTTCCCTCTGTCGATCATTTTTCTTTCAGCTACATATCGGACAGAAATCAAACTCATTAACTTTCTTGTTTTGTGCCATCAGGTGGTGGAAGTCAAGGTTGGTTTACACTGTGACGACTGTATCAAGAAAATTCTTAAGGCCATCAAGAAGATTGAAGGTTACTATAACTAATTTCCAAAGCTCACAAAACTATGTACCTAGGTTTAAAAAGAAAAATTATACATGTCATTAGTCTAATTTTTGACGTGGCTGTGCAGATATTGAGACGTATAACGTGGAGAAACAGTTGAACAAGGTGATTGTTACAGGAAATGTTACAACGGAAGAAGTTATTAGGGTTCTTCATAAGATTGGCAAGAATGCAACCCCATGGGAAGAAGCTCAACCCCAACCCAATTGCTGAATTCAACTTTTCTTTTCCTCAAACAAAAATATATAAATTATGGACATAAATTATAGAGCTTTATGTCAAATTCTATCATATATGTCTGGAGTTTGAAGAGGTATAATTATTTTCCATTTCAATTTTGTAATTCATGACCTTTATCTCAGAACGAAAGCATCTTATAGAGAGACATCAAATGAAACAATTGATCAATAAAAATAACTATTCTATTTATTTGTATACAATCTTAATGTTTAACATTGTAAATTGTCATAGCAATAATAAGAAAAATTAAATATATACCTTATTAAGACAGATAGAGACAAAAATAAAACGAATGTATATACTCATTTATCTCTTTATTTAATTTATGAAAAAATATACTTAACTAAAATGAAGTTTCTATACAATACCTACAAATACGAATTCATTTATCTTTATCATATCCTATGTAGACATTCCAAAAGTTAATTAAAACCCAAAAATACATTGAGAGTTCCCAAATACAACTATTACGTCAATTTAATTCTTAAAATCATGAATATCAATTAATTTTAACCAAAATATTATGAAGTTGCAGCAAGGAAAACAGAAATTGCGTATATTTAACAATTTTTAACCTGAAATTGCTTTGTTTTTTTTTTCTGATTCCAAAGATTAATTTAATTATTACTCATAATTTTAAGAATTATTTTGGTGCATTAATTGTTTTTTATAATTTCCACATAAACTCAAGTACCATTTGATGAATTCCTTGTAATTGTTAAAAATTATTTTATAGTTGAAATATATTATAATTATAGGAGTTTGTGCTCTAGAAATTTGGACTTATAATTTTGTCTTGAGGTCTAACATGAATAAATGTTGAGAAAGTCTTTGTCCTTTATACGACTTGCAAAGAAGCTTCCTCTGTTGCACTGCATATGATGAAAAAAACAAAAGAAGGTGCTGTGTCCCACTCTGAGTTGCCTCCTTTACCTACAAATATACAATTGGTTGTTGACCCATGAATCACTATGTAAGTCATAATGTTCTAAAATATTACATAAATAAACTACATATATGTTTTTCTTTCACTTCTCTTTCTTCCTAATCATTCATTTTTTATTTATTCAAATCGCTATAATCATACAAAGAATACTTCTAATTCACTTTTTCCACATTTACTTTTTAAATCTTAAAATAAATCACATAAAGAATAAAAATAAGGTTAAACCCTTTAATTGTCCCAATTTTTTTTTTTAGGTTTTTTCCAATTCGATTTCTATTTTATTAGAATTTCTAATTTAGTCAAAACAAAATGATAATTTGAATCAATTAGGTCCTTGCCGTTAAATTGGCTTAACGGGGTTAAGTCTTTTATGAGGTGGAACGTTTATGTGGTCAGGTTTTTGAAACCATTGCCACATCATTCCTGCTACGTCAGCATCATCTTCCCAATAGCAGAAATCCTAATTTCCCTCAAGAGTGAAACCTTAGCAAGCAAACCCTAGCGTCTCTGCCGTAAAGTCGCTGCAAAGCCTTCAATCTCGCCGTCACCACCTTGTTGTGCCGCAATCGTGAGAACACTAGTAACGCCTTCGCTGCACCGCACCATCAACGTCATCTTCTTCACGCATCCACCATCGCATCATCTCGGACCGCCACATCGCCTTCATTTCCTTCCACCATTGTTTCTTCTTTGAAACAATTTCACCACTGTGAACCATGAGTCAGAAAATCAATCAGCTAAGAAATCCAAAATCACACAACCTCCCTCGCCATTGTTCAAACACCACAAAGCCAGCAAACGTTCAAGCAGCCATCGTGAGTGTTCTTGCACCACCACGTTCCAAGAACCTACAAACAATCAATCCTCTCACGAAGCAAATGCTAAGAACCCTAATCACAATCTCCTATACGACGTTCTACCTCCACCGCAAGTTCTCCCCTCATCCAGAAATGCACCCCGCAACGAACAATCACCCTTCCATCGCGATGCAAAAGCGCTCTAATGTCGCTATCACCAAATCGCGTAGCCACCCTAAGACACAAGTTCCTCTTCCATCGCGAGATTCCTCCACACACAGTACTCCAGTGCTACTATCACCAAATCGCGCAGCCATCCTAAATCCATTTCGAAATCCTTATCAGGGTTTATGTTGTTGGAGAAAATGACGTTGACGTGACAAGAGCAATGTGACAATGGTTTGAAAAACTGGCCACATCAACATCCTACCTCATCAAAAACTTAACCCGTTAAACTAATTTAATCAGGAATCCAATTAACTTAAATTAACATTTTTTAAAACTAAATTAGAAAAAGAACCCACTGGATAACTAAAGAAATTTAACCTAAAAATATTACAATGAGATGAAGTTGAAAAATATCTTCCAACATTTTATATAACTTTTCTAAAATAAATATGTAATATAATTCCATGTCTTTATTACAAAATTCATATTTTTATTCTATATTATGATAACAAAAGCACCTTTCATTATAATAATCAATCATTTTTATCTAGATGTTTTTTATTGCATAAGTATCAACTCAGAAAAGTTAAAAGACGTTATGGTAGAGGCAAGTACTAACTCCCTTCCACATCGTTTTGTTGTCTTTTTATCTTGCACATGGATTTTAGTTTATCAACTACATTAATAACAAATAAACAATAAATTCTTTAATTAATTGAAAAATACTTAATATTTCATTGAACAATAATTCGAAGCCTAATGTAGATAGTATTTGATTTTTTAATTGTAGAATATTTTAAGTTATTTTTTTCTGATATGATGAAGAGAAAGAAACAGAAATATGTGTATGTCTTTACACACGGACCAATATCTCTTCATGTAATCTTTGTTGATTATATTTTTTTAAAAACTAATATTTTAAATTTGGCCTCTCTTAAAATATTAGTTTTTTTTAACTCGAGCTAATTTATTGTCACATAACACAAGTATTCTTTAAATTCTTTCTACAATGCGCAATGACAAAATTCATCAGTCATATTATGTGTTTTGATGCCTGACACTGCACCTATAAACCGCATGGTCACTCACTCTATTCATTATCACACCTTAATAAATCACAGTATTATGTTGTCATCGTCTTTCTCAATATTATGCAGTGTTTTCCTTATCGATATCCAATAATACAACAAATGTTGGAAACTCTAAAAGCTATGGCAGAAGTATTGGTGTGAAAGGAAATACAATGTATATAGATAATTTCAAAAAAATAAAAAATTCAATTATAATGGAGAAATTAG